AAAAAACAATCAGCTAGCTACTTGTTAATAGTTTCATGTTGCAAGTATTATTCAGATTCTCCCTATCAATCCATCCATCCATCCATCTATCTAGTCACTTTCAACAAAAGAATCGATTATGCTATAAAAAAGCTTTATATGGTCATTTGAAAAGCCATCATATTCCTTAACATAAACAGTTTCAAACTGAAAATGTCATACGATCATTAAATTTTAAATGATGCTCTCTCCCTCTTGCCAAATGAATAAATGAGTTAACACCTACATTATTTGGTCAGATAAATAACATTTTCTATAGAGAGAAATGAATGTAAAAAGTCATTATTAGTGCTTCAAAAAATGATGGCAATTGTGATGATAATATCGGACTTACCAAAATCTAGGATGGTAAGATGGGTTTTGAAAAGTCATAGAATGGAAACCAGGTTAGAGCTGTTTTTAGTGTAGAAATGTTTCCTCAAGCTCGACCTGACATCATCAGGGCATCTGGAGATGGCCTCTGTCTGCCTCCACAAGCCAGGCCCTTACCTTCTTAGTCTCCCTGAAGAATTCTGTTAGTCCAGCATTCTGCAGCACTCAGCAGTATGGAGCAGGGAAAGGGGAGAAGTAGCAGAATTCCAGATGTAGCATTTTTATGGAGAGTGGATGTCTCTTTCTGACTCCCCATGTAAAACACTGTCATTTGAGGCTGCTCCCTCTCACAGAAAGTGCATTTATTAGTCATGAAAATCTTGAATAATTTAAGGCCATTCCTACATCTCTATTTCAAAGGGCATTTTTGAATTACTTTCCTTTGTTGGAGACACAAGTAATCATGCTTATCTGCTGGGTGCTGGTGGGCAGGGTTACTGTAGAGATTAGAAACAAGATGCATCACAGGCATGAAGGTGACATCCACCTTACCACCCAGTCCAGACTGGATGATTTAGGAATGGAATCAAATTCATTGTGCTGTTTCTTTCATAAATACATACATAGCGTGTTATTGTTGCTGTTTTTGTTGTTGTTAAGTGCCATGGAGTCAGTTCTGACTTATATTGATCCTCTATAGGGTTTCTGAGGAGCAGATGAGCTTGAACCACGGACCTTGCAGTCCAGTGCATTAACCCACAGCACCACATCAGGACTCCATACATACATACACATTTTTAAAAGGCAACAAAGGTAATTCAAGTCTTAAAAATGTTATGAATGTACATTTCCTCTTAAATTTTAAGTAGAATCTGAATTTTGTTGTTGTTGTTGTTTAGATGTTCAGGTTAAAAGTAAACCTGTTATAATCTCAAAAGAGCTAAAAATACAATTAAAAATCACATCACCTGAACCATGGTATATAGCATGTATGAAAGTAAGTCAAAAAGCATGCTTACTAGGGTTCTTGTTCATAATATGCACAGGCATATTACAAATTAGGCATACTTAAATGTATCTCTGTGATGGCTACAGACAAGTTTGATCAGAAATACACTAGTCTTTTCCTCGTTAGCGGGTCTTCCAAAAAAACGGCCAACAATTTGAGTTCCCTAAAATGGTCGTTTGATGGATTGTAAATTGAAGTTTGTAGAATTCCTTGGGGGAAGGATTAAAGAGATGGAAGTGTATACACTTAGATGGAGGATAGGTTTGATAATAGCTTCACAGTTTGCTATCTTTGTTTAATAAAGATTTTTATGGCAATACTTTTTGATTTAACATCCTATTGGAACTTTACCACTAGCATCTCTAGGCTACTGAGGGATTAGAGAATCCATTTTAACATATTTTTCAAGGTTAGAACCTAAAGCACAGGCATGTTGCCCAATGAACAGTTTTTAAGAAGCCAATGTGTATAAACGTCCATAGTTTCAATTGAGACAACACTTAACATAATCACGTAAGTGGACAGTAATCCACCTAGAATTTCCTATCATAAAAGTCAGTTTTGAAAAGTGAGTAGCTAATTCTTTCTTTTTGAAGAATATTAATGCTATACTATTGATCTCTTAAAAATGGGAATTTGGGACTTTTTTAATGTAAATTGATGTGTAATGGGGTCAGAACGGGACCAAGAAGAGGAAGTAAATAATCTATCATTGGCCTTTCTGATTTCAATTTTCTGGGAATAGAGAAGATAAAAATCTAGGAAGAGAGCAAGTCTGTCTCAAGTAAAATCTGCATCCGTTGAATGTTGCAGAGTCATACTTAGATTATATTCCATTCTATTTTTGCAAAACATATAATATTTTAGGTACTGGCAAAAAAAAAAGAATGTTTTTCTGAATACTGTAGTACTGAAATTTAAGCTGATCTCTGATATTAATTATGTGGATAAAAAATCTTGACACAAAAGAAAAAAAACTGTGTGAAGTTCTAATCAATATAACATAATTAGGTACACCAAAGTTTATACACATAGGATAGATAGAACTGGAGTAAGTTGGAAAGTTATTTATGTACATGAGAACTTAACAGTCCTGTGCACTTGGCCTGGCTGGATTTTGGAAAGGCTAAGATAAAAGATTAGTGGGCTATTTTGGTTTCACTTAACTTCTGTTAACTAGTTAAGTTACTGCTGTACCTGAGATAGACCGAGTCATATGAAGACTTTTTTCCCCATAGAATATTTTGGATTCTAACTCAAAGGCAGTTATTGCAATCCTACTGCATCATAGGTAACTGAGGAGGAGAACTATTTTGCTAGTGTAGCGGTAGTTTCTGAAAATCGTAATTGGTCACTAACACTGTCTCGATCCTTTGAAACAGAGTGGTTCACTCCTGAGGAAGTTGGTAAAAAGACAGTTCCGTCTTCCTATATATTTTGCTCTTTACATTTAATAAATTGTACAGAGAGATTTTGAGACTCTGTAAATATTCTGTTCCACATAAAATTATCACCAGTTGGTTTTATCTTCTACTGATAGTTCTGAGTCCTAGGGTGGCGCTGAAGGCTACAGCACTGGACCACGAGATCTGTTTGAACCGCAAGGTTGTGGTTCAAACCCAACCAGCTGCTCCTCGAAACCCTATACAGGGTTGCTGTGAGTTGGAACTGACTTGACAACACTTAACAATAAACAACATTGAATCAATTAAAATGATGTTTGGAAATTGTTGATTTTATAATGTTCTCATTCCTTACACATTTGTTAGCTTACAAATTGTTATATTTGTTACAAATAATAATTTGGTATTATACACGTACTGCAGGGAAGACCTTTTCCTTCTCCTCCTATTACTGCCAAGTGGATTACAATTTACAGTAGTTCTACGGGAGAGAGGAGAACTGCCCTGTAGGGGTTCCAAGACTAATCCTGTTGGAAGCTGACTGCCACATCTTTCTCCTGAGGAAGTGCTGGTGGGTTAAGAAGCACGTAGCCACTGTACCACCATGGCCACTTATATGCTGTAGAGTGGGCACTGACTCACAGCAACCCTGTGCAGGGTTTCTAAGGTGTGGCTGGTGGGTTTGAATTGTGTACCTGTGGCTAGCAGTCCAGTGCTTATCCTACAGCACTACATCAGGACCCAATTGTTTCGCTTACTTATAGTTATTATTTATGATCAACAGATTCATGAATTCTTATTAAGCAGGCTGTGGTGCTGTAGGTTAATGTGCTAGACTGCAAAGTCTGTTTGAACTGCAAGGTCGGTGGTTCAAGCTTACCAGTCACGCCTTGGAAATCCTATACAGGATTGCTATGGGTTGGAACTGACTTGATAGCACTTAACAACAACTCCATTACTGGTATTATTTATTTTGATGTTCAAATAATTTCATTTTAGTCAATGAAATTCCAAAAGCTGGGGTCTGGTTTTTAAGACACTTTTTAAGTTTTTAACAATTGTTTTTAACAATCATTTTGCATCATTATGAAAAAAAAAAAAAAGTCCTTATTTTCTGGCTCAACCAGAAAATAACCATTTTTGGTTTATTTTATAGTTTCCCTGCCCCAGTCATAGAATCAATCATTTCTCTAAGAAGCCCTGGTTTTATGACCCAAAATCGGAGCACTAAACATGCTCATTATCACTCAAATCATTGCATTTTAGGACATTTCATAAGTTCATCACGGTACCTCTAATTCCAACCTAACTGTCCCAAACCACAGGATTCTCCCTTGCTTTCCCCAATTCCATAACTGTTTCTCCCTTCCACAATACTTTTTACCGTGGCTTCCAAAAATATTGATGTATTTATTCATTTGCACAACCCTAAACTTATCTTATGGAGTCCTGGTATGGTGCTATGAATTAATGCGCCAGACTGCAAAGCCGTTTGAACTGCAAGGTCGGTGGTTCAAGCTCAGCAGATGCTCCTTGGAAACCCTATACAGGGTTGCTATGGGTCAGTACTGATTCGACAGCACTTAACAACAAACTTATCTTTAATACACTCCCTTTCTAATACACAGGCTCTTGGTCCAGACCCAAGAGTTTTTCCATCTTTCTGCATTGCCACCCTCTTCTGTGATGTCTCTCCTCATGGGCACAGGATAGCTACCAAAGCTGCAAGCTTTACATCCTGGTAGGACAATAGTTTAATCAGGAAGGAAGTAGGTGGGAGTCAATGCCTTCTCCTTGCATACCCTTCTCTCTCTGTTTAGGGAGAAGTACCCCTCCCGAAGCCTCCTCCTTATGGATCACTGGCAAAACTGGATTGCCTGCCTGCTCCTAGAACTATCTCCAGCAAAGGCGATGAGAGTAGGTCTATCAAGATTCATGCCCTAGGGTTAGGCACATTGGTCATCCCAGTAAAAATCCGTATACTGTTAGTCAAGTGAATGGGGACAGGGCTGTAGGGCCGACTAACAGTGAGTACTATAATTATACATAACAACTCAACCCATGTTTCAGTAACAAAGAAAAGAATTACTTCATTCATAAAATGACTTTCTTTGAATTATTTAAATTTTTTTCTACTGAATATCTATCATTTTTACATAGAGAAATTACTTTTTAACAACCTCATATTAAAGTTACTTCTAATGGGAAGCTCAGAATTGAGGTTTTTCCAAGTTGGTCTATTTTACATACCACTGCAAGAGAGCATGTACCAGTTTTAAAAACAAAACTGAAAGATATTTTTGAAAAGGCAGAGACATCATTAATTTTAAACAACAGTAAGCATTAAGACTTTTCCCCCCAGTATAATTCCATATCTTATATTCATTTAAGACAAATGTATAGTAGTAGATGATAGTAAGGAACTCTGGTGGTCTGTAGGATAAACACTGGCCTACTAACCACAACATTGGCAGTTCAAACCCACCAGCCACTTTGTAGGACAAAGATGAAGCTTCGTGCTTCCATAAGGAGTTACAGCCTCTGAAACTCTACACAAGGTCACTCTGAGATGGAATTAACTATTTGTTCACTTTTCCTATGGGAGTTATTCAAGTAAACCCTGGTCCTCTGGTAGTGGTTCAGATATTTGACAGATGACTTTCATGCTGTAAAGTACAGAGAGCTAGGATGGGGCTGTTTCCTACAGTACCCCTAGGGAGGAGAAAACTTCTGCCTACACTCTCTCGCCTCCTCCGACTTGTTCACCAATTGGAGAAACAGCTGTTCATCCGATTGAGAAGAATTTCACTAAAGGCAGGGCCACAGCATGGAAAGGTGATGTGTTCGCAGTCATATTCTCGGCTTCAGTTTTTCCACCTGGCTCTGAGTAATAAGGAATTAGCATGCATGAATCAGCAGGGGAACAGAGCAGGAAGCTTTGCTTGAACTTCTTAGCCAGAATGATATTTCCCAACCTAGTTCAATTTTGCCATAAAAAAGCCCCACATGTTGAGGGGCAATTGCCGTGTGACCAGCTATGTGTAAAGCACCGTTTGGTTTCCATCCACTTATCATTCTCTATAATCACACTCCCTACTAGGACACAAGGGGGAACAAAACCTCACCCAAAGTTATTATCACAGATAGTAACTTTTCCTCATAATAACAGTACGTGCTACTGCTGACTTTGGAAGCAAGCAAAAGTCAGTTTTGCTTTTTTTTGGAAACAATCCAATATATTATGGTTTTGAAGCAATCCAATATTTTATGATAATATAGAAGGACCATGTTGTTGTTGTTGTTGTTAAGTGCTGTTGAGTCAGTTCTGAGTCATAGAAAACTTGTATGTTGTTGTTGTTGCTGTTAAGTGCCTTCGAGTCGGTTCCGACCCATAGCGACCCTGTACAGGGTTTCCGAGGGTGTAAATCCTTACGGGAGTAGAAAGCCTCATCTTTC